TCAGTCTACTACTTCTCTTTGTGGAAAGGTGGAAACTTATAATCTCGTTCTATTACGACTTAATTCATTTCGGGGCAACTGTAAAATTGTTATTTATTCCTTTCATTAAGTAGATTCAGGTGCAATATATTCATGTATCTACATATGTATAGTTGAGTATCTACATATAGTCATAAGCATGCTGAACAGTTGCCAACAATTTAGTTTATTAAGCTCTATATTTTGTAAGATACACCTCACATATGTACCATACTAACAAGCAATTTAGTCGAATATTAATAGTGCAATATTTACCACCATTATCACTTATACGCTAACGTATAACTAACTAACAGATCTTTTAACTTCGTGAAAATTACATTTACCTTAATATTTGAAAATAGTAGTCATTTATGGTGTGCAATATTTAATATAAAATGAACGGTTTGACGGGTTTCGTAATTTCTAGCGGTAAAAAGCAATGAAATCGTGCCAAACAAGTCCATCATTTCATATGGAGTAAGTCATTATACATGTAGAGCTTTGAACTAAGAGTAGAATATTATTTTAAGTTGATATTAAAATAATGAAATGTAACGAGCTATCCAATATTTAAGCAAATACAATATCATTAAAATTACAAATTTTAACATAAAATTTCAAAATTGTATTGATTTGTGATTAAAATGTAATATATTTAAAAACTGAAATATTTATAAATTAGAAATCGTACTATCGCATTATTTACTTATTTTATGTATGCATCACTTTTTGAGAAGTTTTATGCGATCATTGTTTGTTTGTTCAATGGTATTAATGATCTTANNNCAATGGTAATAATGATATTATTGTAATATTTAATTATATATATATATATCTTTTTCCTGTACTTTCACCAAACAAACATCAAATACAATTGTGCTTTTATAAAAATGCAATTGTATTATGACTGCGGGATAATACGACTACTTTTATCTCCTGATTTCATACCTTTTGTAAAAAATATTAGACTAAGGTAGTAGTAGAGTGGAACAAAATATACTGTATATAATATAAAGTCAATGATTACTCCTTAATGATTAGTCCTTTATGAACGTATGTTGTACTTAATTTCTTATTTATATAATTTTGTTTAGAGTATAGTAAAAAATAAATTTTTGTAAATCGATTTTTTCCTTGTTAATTTTTACTCATTTAAGATGGTGATTTTAAGTACAAAATATAGTATAATACATAAATTTAATAAGTTAAATATTTATTTATTAGTTAATTATA